TAGATCCGCCAGTGGCTGTCGTTGACACTCAACGAGCAAAGGCAGTACCGAAGATTTGCAATGGCCTTCAACATTTCTTACGTCCAAAAAATCAAAAATAACACAGACCAACTTTTATCCTAACCGCAACTAGCTGACGATTAACTCTCAAGTTTATCAGCAGTAAAACAGTCCAAAAATCTACTATAACGACAAAGAACGAACAGCTGTAAGCACGTATCATCATTTTCTTCAATGGCAAATCGCATACTACTCAGTGTTCAATCAGTGGAGCAATTTAAACAAACTCAAACGCCTTCTCATATTTCTAACAAACACTGAACGAGAAATCAAGAAACTTTTAATTTTTTTTAATGAAAATGTTTGAAAAGCAATTTAAAAAAATTGAACACATTAGAAAAACTAAATAAAATGTATAACTTGACAAGTTCTTCAAAAACGTCCCAATATTTGATAAAAACGCCAGTGGAACATTTCATTGGCATTACGGTAAAATATTATTAATCCCACAAGTAAATACGATGACGATGATGAATGTGATGACGTCGGTGAAAATAATACAAAAACATACACACACACACCACACACATACACACCACACACACACACCACACACACATTTCACACACACATCTTATTAGTTAATTTAACCATTGCATCAAATTATTTCATTACATTTAATCAAGTAGGACAACTACGAAAATGTACAATCATTGATGAGGGATTGTCCAGAGATAGCTACATTTAGTTAGAACCATACTTTGAAACAATAATATCAACAACAACAAAATATTATTATTATTATTATTATTATTATTATTATCTATTTATTAATTTATTAATTAATTATGGAAAAAATTTTCAACATAATTTTAGACGAGTTGATATTGTAAACATATACTAATTATTTTTATTACGAAAAAAAAAATTCAGTCATAATTTGATCAACAGAAATGGTGATATTAATTACATTAACAATAAATTAATGAAACATTTACACAACCATTTGTTAATGGGTAAATTAATTTCTCAGAGTGAACCATCACCGTACCAACACCACCCCACCTAACCAACTGATTCAACTCTCAAGCCACTGCTAAACATTGAAGCAGTGGAAGCGATGGAAGTCAGCGACGACAAACAGGCAAGTAGTCAAGAGACACAATCACAACAGAGACGATGAAGACGACGTTGTAGCAGCTAATCGCGTCTGCTCCTGGTTCAACCGCAAGATCAGATTCTTGTACTTGATCCTAAAATCCCTGGCGTCTGTCGGACGGAACCATCTGATGAGGCCTTTGATGGGCGGTGTAAAGTTCCTGATTGGTTTCTGTGAAGGAGTTAGCAAGGCAAGGGGTTAGTTGGTAAAATGAGCTAATTCATTTTCTAAGACACATGAAAACACAGCGTTACGACCAAATATTTATTTGCCATCAGCGTTCTCAACAAAGGCATCACTCACCATCACCTACAACCAGACCACACATTCCTATATGACAAGATCCCATGAAACATCACAACAAGTGGAGATAAAATGAAGCTCACGTGACACCCATGTACCATGCACATAACTGCTCCTTCCTACCTGTCTGACTCCCTCAAACGTTTCAACCACAACAAAACAACAACAACAATGAAACAACAACAGCAACAAACAACAACAACAGCAGCAAAAACAACAGTAACAATAACAACACAACAATAACAACAACAGCAACACAACAACACTACAACAACAACAACAACAACACTACAACAACAACAATACTACAAATATCAAACACCTCAAACATTTATTTGTTTGATGGGACATGGAATGTTACCAACAACGACAGCTGGGTTACATTTATGACTAGCTTGCACTTCTGCAACACTCCCATGTAAACAATCTAAACTAGAAACCAAATGCACCATAGCAGTAAGATAATAGAGGGTGAATGATGACAACCAACCTGAAAAAAAGATTGAACGTATAGAAGCAGGTATGAGCCGCAATCGTAGAGGTTGTGCTGCTGGGGGCACTGTGGGACACACCCCTTCATGCTCATCTTGTGGAAGATCTTCTCCCCGTCCATGCCCTTCACCCCTCCCGGCCCATCTCTCTTCTTCAGGTTCCACTCTACTTGTAGGTACCTGGCGTTGGAGGGTGTTGATGGTGGAAATGATGTGATGATGACGATGAGTGAACGTTCGAATGTTGCTGGGACGTTATCGCAGCTGAAACTGCAACTCACTGTAACGTAAAATAAAAAGAAGGCAAACTACACTGCGCAGAACATCACGGCGTGCAACAGCACAAGACAAATAATCCTATACACAACAGACACACAAACACACACGCGCGCGCACACACACAAGCAGACACGCACACAAACAAACAGATAGACATACACACACAAACCAACAGACTAACTCTCTCAAGATAGTTGAAACATCCCATCTCGGCTTACCACCAGCCAGTGAATCCAGCACGATGATCAGCGGACTGCAAGTATCCACAGCAAACAATCAGTCTCACATCAATCATCAATCAGTCAGCAAGCATCCAACCATAATTCAATCCGTAAGCAATCATCCAATCATAATTCAATCCGTAAGCAATCATCCAATCATAATTCAATTCGTCAGCAATCATCCAATCATAATTCAATCCGTCAGCAAGCATCCAACCATAATTCAATCCGTAAGCAATCGACCAATCAGCACACACCAGCTTCATGTGTTCATAATGTCATTGTTAATCCATTCAAATTTCTACCCCTGAATAGACATAACCACATAATTTAATATTTAGAGCACATTGGCAGGCAGCTCCATCTTCAACTTAACTGCAAAAAACAGTCACCCAATTGAAAAACAGCCAAATTGAAGTGCCTCGCGTCAATACGAAAAACAAAAACACTAAATGACCAGACGTTAAAATAGCGCTGAAAAATGAACAAGAACGTCAAATGAAATTAAATGCGGACTTGATTGAACTGTTAAATAAAAATTAAAATTGAAGCATGAAGACGGACAAAACATGAAGAAAAGTTGAATGAAATTAAAGGGACAGAGTACAGGCGACCAGCCAACCAACCAGCCAGCCAACCAGCTAGCCAGCCAGCCAGCCAACCAACCAATCAACCAACCAACCAACCAACCAACCAACCAACCAACCAACCAACCAACCAACCAACCAACCAACCAACCAGCCAGCCAACCAACCAGCCAACCAACCAGTCAACAACCAACCAGCCAACCAACCAACCAACCATTTAATGGTATCGTCAGTGAAGTCATCAGCATCAGAGAACTTCCCCTCTTCAGCATTGCTTACCTTATTTTTACTATTATCATTATCATTATTGTTATTATTATTAATATTGTTATTATTGTTGTTATTATTATTATTATTGTCACTATTCTTTACGTCTTGAACATCATCACCCTCATCACTAGCAGCATCAACATTGTCACTTTTATGGTCTTGCTTCTTCTTCTCCTTCACCTGGCCAATGATAGATGGATTGATGGATGTGGAGATGAATGGATGGATCTATAAGATGGAAAGATATGCAGATGGATAGATTAGATAGATGGATGAGGAGATTGAATAAAACAAAGTGACCTTGACATTGACAACATAACCTCAGTATAACCAACCAAACGACAAATTATTCAATACAGAAAAGCTCTTGCAATAACAACAAATAAACAATCAACATAGAATAAGCGAGAACACAATTCATTCTTATCAACCATCAAGTAACCAACCGTCAACTAGTTATCAACCAATCATCAACCAACTATCAGCCAACCAATCAGCAATTACTGACCTTTGTAGTAGACTCCTCCCTCTCATCTTCCTCTGACGAATCAGAGTAGAGAGCCAAGAAATCCAGAGCAGTCTTCACTTTTGCCCTGACCTCATCTGTAGTTTTTTTAACCGTCGGCGAAACATTCTCATTGGTTCGTGCCTCATTTAATACTTTTATATTTTTTTTATTATTATTCTTATTATTCAAATTGGCATTTTTAAATGTTAAACTATTAATCTTATCATTTGGATTATTATTATTATTATTTTTATTATTATTCGTAGCTGCAGTATAAACATCGCGGGACAAGTTTTCGATATTCCTGTTAAGACGGAGGGCAGATGCACAGAGGCCAGGGAAGCAGACGATGGCCAGGAACCAATGGAAACTGCAATGCAGTACAGTGGAAAGGATGATGATGATGATAATGATGATGGAGGTGGTAATGATAGTGATGATGATGGAAGCAATGATATCCATCCGTCTGTCCATCCATCCATCTATCCCTCCATCTATCTATCTATCTAGTGTTAAGCACTGATATCCAATTCACCTATCACTCCATCCATCCACCTATCTACTTATTCATTCATCCATCTATCCATCTATCCATCCATCTATCTATATATCTATCTATCTATCCATCCATCCATCCATCCATCCATCCATCCATCCATCCATCCATCCATCCATCCATCCATCCATCCATCCATCAACGAAGGCTACGCAATGAACTGCATGAATTTTCCTACGAAACAAGCGGCAGCGTGAAACAATGAATGGAATGGAAGAAGTTACTTCTGGTTGATGGGCACGATGAGGAAGTCCTTACTGAAGACGTCCACGCTCCTCGTCCAGTTCTTGACCTTACTGTGCCTCTCGATTGCTCGTAACGAGTTGTGGTCACTGTGCAGAGTTCAGATGTTTTTATTACTTGCATTCAAGAAATCATTGAAGAAACAGAACAACATTGAATCATCATTCAGTCTGCCTCTTAATTCAGAGAAACATATAGAGCGCACATGTGAATCTAATTGAATCCAAATATGACAAATATTATATCGCATCTGATTGGCGGGGGTCTGTTCGCATTCGAACCCGGGCACTGCCACAGCAAGACCGGCTGCCTTAATTAGCCATCTCGTCGCCTAGACAACAGGTTAGCTATCCGGTTTATTTAATTTATATTTTGATCTGCGTAGCTAAACGCAATTCGAATTCGAAAGAGTTTGGTTGAATAGTGATGAGGTCATTGGCAAAATGATTTAAAAACTGTCGGCTAAATTTTACATTTGAATGAGTAAATGATATATTAAAAAGCTGTTACGCCCCCAAATTAAATATTACTTCACTGAATGTCAACGTTCATTAAAAAACTCTATTCACTTGGGGAAGAAAATGTTTATAAGTACTTGAACTTATACAACAGTGGCAACAACACATAATTACTTATTTTTCTTGTCGGTTTTGTTGTGCTTCTTGCTGCCGAGGTCAGACGTGAGATGACTGTAGAAGAAGGAGCTGAAGATGTGAGTTCGCTGGCGGTCCCTGTCAGATAGCAACTCGTTCTGTAGGTATCTGTGACGTTGTTGGTCGATGCATCGTTAAATACTATCATCAATTCTTAATTAATTAATTAATTTCTTAATTAATTAATTAATTGAATCCAATTTGTTCAAATTGGAAATGGACGTTAAACAAGGAATGACTGAGTAATTAATTGTCAGGAGTATCGAGACAGCAGCACGTTAGCCTGCATTGAAAGTCACTAGCTCCCTACAGCGATGATGCCCTACAGGCTCCTTACCAATGCACCATCTAGACGCTTGCCAGAAGATTTGAAAAATTAAATTTTGAAAATTCGAAATTTCTGAAGATTTGAAAAATGGAATATCTTGGAAAGCCGCAAAAACATGCTCAACAGAACTCTGGACATATTGTCATGGTCATGGAGGTATTTCAATTTAATTCAGTTTTAAGAAGTTAGAAATAGTTAGAAATATTTATTCTTCTGAACTGTTAATTCATGGAAAAATTAATCTTCCATGAGATGAACAAATCGTGAAAATTTAGAGTTTGATGTGTGGCTAGAGTTGAATTAAATATGCCCACAGCCGCGAGCCAACTAGCCAGTTGCAGACTTTCGACACTTCGGCCAATGAAGCAACCTTCAACCCTTACTCACATAATAGAAAACTGAATGAGAGCAACTTCAAAATAAAATAAAATATTTTATTTTAAAAAATTTTTGAAATAAAATGAAGGAACAAACAAAATGAGGAAATAAGAAAAAAAAAGAAAGAAACTGAACAAACTTGAGGTAGAAGTCGATGCAGACGTCGTTGAGGCACTGTTCGGGGTTCAAGCACATGAGGTCATGCGAGGTCACGGTGATCCTGCCGACAGACGGAGGGGGTGGGTAGGAGACGAGTCTGGTAACAAACAACAACAACAACAACAACAATAATAATAATAATAATAATGATAATAATAATCATAATAATAATGATAATAATAAGCCTGGTAATAATTACAACCTAATTATCATTAACATCAACCATCTATCTACCAGCATGACCATGACCAATTGAATTTTTTACAATTCCCTCTTCAGTATTTCTCAGATGTAGTGGAAAAAAGAAAGACACACAGAGTGTATGCAAGAACAGGCAGGCACGCTGCATGTGATGAACGGGGATCTCATGGCATTCGAACGTGGTCACTGCAACATCGATGCCAGTTATTTTTTAACCATTATACCATCCCACTGCCCAGTGGTGTAATTAATTAATTAATTTGTATTATATTCATCAGTTACAAAAGATGTATATCAATTAATATTAATTTTCACTTAGTAATTAAATGTTTGACAGATGAGTTGAAAATGACAAAGGAAATACAAAATTATGAATAAAACTATATAAAATTGTTAGTCTTTTGCTGGCTGTCTTCATAAATCTAATTATTAAAAACACATTTGGTAACTTTCACAGTGAAAATTTTCAAATTTTCAATTTCAAACAAATTCTGATAAGCTTCAAAACTTAGGAAGGATTTCTGTGAGATGTACGTAGTTGTCAGTAGAATTATATTTTGATCTGGTGAGCATTAGATCTCTCAATGTAGCTAACTCATCCATCAGTCATCCAATTGCAATAATGCAACGAAGCAAGCTAGGCATTCCTGCTAAAATAATGCTGAACACCAAATGAAGGGCAGAAGAATGTAATACATTGGCTCTTTAGACAAATAAAAACTTAGAACTGTTTCCGTTGGGCTAATGCTGAAGAATGGAAATACAGACAATAATAAAGTAATGAAACAGTAATAACAATAATAATAAGAAGAAGAAACAAATAATAATAAGAAAATCATACTTGACTGGTTCACCCTGTACATCGTCAGATGGATGGTACACCTCAACATCTTCCTCCACGTCCATTTCGTCGCTCTTAATACTCATAAACAGTCTGTCAATTTTTAGGTTATCATCACTTTTACCCTGTCTGTCATTTTCCCCCTTGCATGCACTGCACTTCATCTTGGCCTGCTTACATCTTGTCATGTTCCTGGCACACGTCTGTGAGACGTCCATCACCGTCTGGCACTGACAACATTTGAATTTGGCTCCCCGCTGTTTCCTTGATGGTTGCAAGGACCTCGATGTTGGCGCTAAGACGATAAGTGGTGGTGGTGGTGTTGGTGAGTAGGGGGACATCTTGGATGATGCTGGTCTAATTTTTGGATAAAAGTTATCAACAGGCAGACCGGATTCATTGCTCTTCTTGGGAGAGGTTGAAACAGCAGGGCCATCGTCGTCATCTTTTTTGAAATGTTTCTTCTTTACAGACGGTGAGTGAAGAATGGTGACGTCACCTTCATCGTCACCATCATCACTGAGGACACCGCCATCTTCGTGTATGGGGGACGATAGATCAACTGTCGTCCGTGCTTCTCGTTTCGACGGCAGCTCTTCTCGAGTTGATGGTGCCTCGCTTTTTAATGGACTCTTGCTGATGTTTCGCTCCTTCCTCCCTCCATCTTTCGAAATGCTAGGATCTTCAACTAAAACTTTCGTGGTGAAACAATCATCATCATTACAATTTAAATTATCCTCGCCATTTCTTTTCCGTGTTTTACCATCACCACCATAATAATTATTATTATTTTCATGGTTGTTGTTCTTTTTATTCCTATTGATATGATGCAAGTTCTTGCATTCATCATTCTTGTCGTTGTCCCCATTGATGCCACAAACAACAGGGGACGATGGGGGTAGGTTATTGTTATTATCATTATTATTACTACTTGTTTCATCATCATCGTCATCTTCATTTATATAATCTAACAGGGTTTTATTAAAATTTGAATTGACAGGTGAAAACTTGCCGACCGTGTTGGCCTCATTTATTAATCTGCTGAACTGCCCGATGAACTGACCGACAGCAGATTCCGACTCCAACCCCTGCACTGTCAGCTGGATGGTCCGTGGTTGGTGCGAGCCAACTGAATTGTGGGTGGACAGTGTGGCAGTCAATCAATCAATCAATTTAATGCACCGAATGGCAATAATTACCAAATGTAAATTCAAAAACAACGACAAATACAGTGGATCGTCATCACAACAACAGTAACACAAACTCACTCGAAGTCGGGTACCAAGGCTCCAACTCAAAAACTTTCACTTTCAAATAATGAAAAAGATCAAAATCATCATCCTCTTGAGCAGTTGTGACATTTTTGTTGTTGTTTATTAATTTACAAACACTGTTGTCGTTCTTGTTGTTGTTCTTGGATTTGATGAAGAGTTGAATCTTGAATCGGCTGTAGTTTTTCAGCTCCACTTTCGCCAAGTCTCTGTACCTCATTCTCACTGCCATTGGGTTGAATAAATGTGTGAGACGATATGATAATTACAATAATTTAATCATTTAATACACGCACTAATTTGTTTTATAAAATAATCTCAACACTGAGAATAATTTTGTTGAGTGACAAGATGAAGATTATATGACACTTCTGAGAAGCTATTTTTAACCAATGACACCCACCGATGTGATCTGCCCTCATCGTCTCCTGTTGTTTGTTGCATCGATGCAACAACAACTAAGAAGATAAATGCAAGAATTTGCACCATATCAATAGGAGCAAGAAGACGGAAAATGACAATCACGTATCATAGTTTGCTGCTACGGCATTTTAAATTACATATTCAAAAAGAATCATAAAAGATGAATAATTTTTAAGATTACTATTCCAAAAAAAACTATGAGATTTTCATATAAAAGAAGACCATTTATGTGACAAACTTTTTAAATTACTGTAAAACTTCATAATCATTTCATGATGCCACATGACATGGTATTGACAAATTTTTAAAAGTTTTTTTAATAATAACTCAATTAACAGCTAGCCCTTCCTCACATTAAGACATTTCTTCAAATTTACATCATCTCAGCATCACATCACCATCATCACCCCATTATGTCACCCTCTTTTTACATCAATATTGATGTTCTCACCACTACCACCAAATGACTCAAGCACCCACCCATCCATCGTGACCTCACTGACCTTCTTTGTCGGAGCCCAGCATATGTATGACACATGCCTCTTCCTCTAACATGCAGCTGGTGCACGAAAGACATTTGTTGAACAGTGCCATGCTCTCCAACTTCACTGCATCATTAAACATTAACAAGAAATTATGACCACACAATCCAACAGTTTTAAATGCATCAGTAATTCAATGAATCGCTCAATTGAAAATTTTTAGTGAAAATTTTTAGATTTTAGAACTACCAAAACAAAAATTAACAAACAGGTCCTATCAGTTTTTATAATTCTTATTAATAGCAAGCAGTTAATTAGACAATTTGATAACCATTTTCAACCACTGAATTTGAAGAAGCACATTGATTTATTAATTATTATTCAAGATATAATTTTGCCTCTTCATTAAAAACTACTGAGATCCACCGCAAGCATTACTTTTAAAACAACTGGTTAACTGTTAACAAATACTAACTAAATTACTAAATAAAATAAATTAAAATACTTGCTGACAACATCAACATCATGACATTCATAAAGATAAACTTACATGACATTTTATAAGCCAACTGAACATGACAACAATCATTATCGTCGTCGTCGTCATCATCAATGATTATTTGACTGCAAGCACCGTTGGCAGGGTCGGGGGCAGGATTACGGTTTTGATGATTATCACCCCCTTCTTTGAAGCGTTTCTTAACATTTTTCGAGCCGCCTGGCCTCGTCTGCCAGTGACGTTTGTTAGCAGATGCCACTATTTTCAACTTTTTTACTGCCTCTTCTACTTCAGAATACTTACGCTTCGTAGCAGTGCCAACAGTTGCCGATTCAAACCGTTTTATATCAACTGCCAGATTCGATCTTTTTCTGAAATATTCACTCAAGAATAGGGTATCTCTGCCGCTCATTTTCGCTCAGTACGTAATTTACAACATTTAAATTTAAGAAAACAAAACACGCCATCAAATTTTTAAGAAACGATTGTAACGTAAACCGAGGTATCATTCATTATTATCTACGGCAAGCCGATATTAAAAACAATTTGCCATTGAAATATCATTGGTCATTAATGACGTCATACGTTCTTACTGCAAATATTGGACTTGCATTACATTACATTACACTCTGGCCATACATGTAGAATAACATATATATAAAATTTCTAATTATCGTTACGCATACCATGTAAAAGAAGGCCGTAATAATTTTGTGATTTTTGACCGTGTAGATTTTATATAATCGCTAGGTTTTTAAAAATTTGTTTGAAGTATACGCTTTTATTTTTTATTATAATGTATTATTAAATTCTTATTGCGTTTTCATACATTCTAATTAACGTTAATATAATTTCAGAATTTGTATTCTATAAATATGCTATATTAATTTGTGGTTAAAAAAACACTACAGTCTATCATTTGGCACAACGTATAAATAGTTAAAATTTAAACTTTTGTTAATCTATGCTATACACCATTATAGTCCTGAATTATTACGGCCCCCGGTGTGCATGGTATTATCGGCTGCTCGATGTTACAAATGGCTGATTTCCTATATATGTATATTCTATGTATATGACCCTGGCAATTTTATGATATCTTTGGCCACGTACATTTTTTCACCCACCTCTCATTTTTTGCAATTTATTACTTGCTAGTACTAGAGTCCAGCCTACTAAACAATGCGGCATAATTTTATCATAATATAAAGAACTCACAAAAATATGTGTTATCATATTTGAAAAATGCTACTAAATATTATTAAATTTATTTTAACTTAAAATCAAATTATAAATGTTAATACCTGCTAGCGTTAGATTAAAATATTAAATAATAGTTATATCGGAGATCCGTACTGGATGACAGGTTTGTACTTTGTAAGAGTTTTTAAAAACTTGTCATAATCACAACAAAAAATTTTCATCATATAATCAAGATGGTACGATGGTACAAGAAACTATATGTTAAGATTAGAATTATGGTATGTGCATCTAGCACATAAGTCGGATTTCCGGTTTTGCCGGATTTCCGGGATTGCCGATGCCGTTTTTGTGGTTCATCGTATACAATTAGAGGTAAAGTGTCGCCGATGAATCTATGAATGAAACTAACAACAACAACAACATCCTATATACACATAAAACTACATAAGCATACACATAAACATCACCTAATACGTAATATTCATGACTTATTTCATATTACTAATTTATTAATTTATATATTTATTTATTTTCCCCATGCCCGCATCAAATCACACAATATTTAATATTAAGTACACTGACGTATACAAATGTTTTAAACTGAGAAATCAAAAAAAAATTTCGAAATTTTATTTCAATTATTAACTATCGAAAACATCTTAAAGATCCATGCAGCAGTGTAAAAATCAAGTAAACGACCATCGTAACGTCTGCTCCCAAGGAGCTCCAAGCTAAGTAGTTCTTTATGAAATCTTCTCCTGGAAAAATTAATAAATTTTAAATAAGTGGTTAAAAATTTCTCAAGTTTCCAACCGTCTCAGTTAAAAGTTATAACTTTATAAGTGAATGAATAAGTGTGTGTGTGTGTTGTGTGTGTGTATGTGGTGTGTGTGACTATGTAATTAATAGCGGAAAATTGCTTTTATTCGCTCACGACAAAAGACAATGTTACAATTGTTAATATAATTGATGACATCAGAAGATTATTTTATGGAAAAAAAAGATATTATGAAAGTATGCACACAGTTAAATTAGATATAAGAAAATGATAAAACTCTGGGTAATTTTTTTCTTTTAAAAATCAAACATTTAAAAAGGTGTTAGTTTGCTTAAAGAATGAATTTGGGTATATATATATATAAATATCATAGCAAAGTGCAAAATTTTGTTTAACTTTTAAAACTTCAAGTTCACTTGGCGATGTCAACCCTTTATTTTATAGCTACTTACTCGATGAAAATTACTATTTTTGTTAAGGTCGTTTACATTGGGACTGAAGCCAATTTTATGTTTTATTAAACCATTGATGAATATCTACCAGTAAAACCTGCTTAAATTTGAAACTGAGGTAAGAATGTAAATAGAGCAGATGACGGCAACTTTGTAGCTTAAACTCTGTTACTCAATTATATGATATAAAAAAATGAAAAACAAAAGGATGAAGTTCCATGTTTCGATCAAAAATATAATGTGATATATTCATTTATTTTTTGCTTTGATTTTATCTTTAAATGGATTCTTTGTTAAACAGTTACCCCACAACAGCAGAAAGTTATTTGAAACTTACTTGTGGGGGTGAAATCCTCGTCAGATGCATCCCAAAAAATATTTTTCTCGCAAAAAAGCCGGCATATGTGCTTAACATGAAGCTTGTTGTAAGTGTCATAGGCCTCTCTCAGTCTATAGTTTAGTTGGAATCTGCTTCGAATTACTGCAAAGTTAAACGTGATGTGATATGATATTAATGTGATTTTGATGCGATTTGATTAGTGATGTGGTTCTATTATTGATGTGATTCGATTATTGATGTGATTTGATATTGATAGGATATGGGTGATGCGGTTATTGATGTGTTGTTGCATCACAACACATGCCAGGCCAGTACCACAATGTGAACCAGGTATCGCAATAAAAACTTCACGAAATCAATTGAAACTTCGTTTGTTGTGTGCTATCTTAAATTAAATTACACTAATATGGGATATAAAAATCAATATTATAATTATTCTAATCATTAATACAATATAATAATTATCACATTAACACGTCAATGATATTAACTACAAGTAAATACATCAAAAATCTGCAAATGAATAAAGACATACTAAGTCTGATGAACAAGGAAGAAGGGATTTTTTTCATCTCAACCTTGCATTTGCATTTCGCTGTTGGGCAATATTATATATATATATATATGTAATACATGATATATATATATATATATGATATATATATATATATGTGTATATATATATAGGATTAAGACTGCCAGAAAAGCAGTTATTGATGAAAATCACAGCATGTTCCGAGTTAGTTAACGTCCAGTTTAATTTTTCGATTTTTCTAACGGTAGATCCTAAATCATTCTCAAGTTTCTTGAGTTCAAAACCAAAATTTTGTTTATGTTATGCATGATTAAACATTTAAGCATAATAGAACAGAAAATATTTGTTCGGTATTCTTATACCATCTTCAGTGTTTGAGTTGTGTATGTGGCCAAATGCTCAAGTATCGATGTATATATATATATATATATAGCGTTTCTACGATGTTAATTCCTCGTTTGTTTGGTGTGAATACTTAACTGTCATTTAATTAGTTATTACGATCTTCAACTTCGTCCAATATGTCACTTTAACGTGTCATCATTTTCGATGATTCCTCTGTTTCTAAATTTATTGGTAGGAAGAATTCCAATTGCCGTTGTTGAATATTTATTATCGGATGTCTTTGTTCTATGAGTATTGATTCGGCTAGTCGTAAATTATAATGGTTGTTATTGTAATGAAGAAGAATGAAATATAGCACAGAAATGATAAAAGAGAAGTTGAAAGACATCAGAAATGTAATAGAAAACAAATTGGATACAAAAACAAAGTACGATATGAAAACAAGAGTCAGTAACTTGGAGAAAGTGCTTAAGACTGCAGCCGAAAAATGCGAAGTAGGGAAAAACATAATAAAACCCTGGATAAGTGATGTAACTTGGAAACTTGTAGAGGAAAGAAGACAGTTGAAAGCAACAAAAAGACAAAACAACGAAAATGAGATGAAATATAAACAACTGTGTTGCAAAATAAAGAAAAATGCCAGAGCAGATAAAAGAAGATGGATAAACGATAGATGCAAAAGGGTAGAAGCACTAGTTGGACAAAACAAAACAAAAGAGACAGACAGACAGTTAAAAGGAAAATTGAAGAATACGTCAAGGATTATTAAAGACAAGGATGGAAATGTTCTAACTGAAGGCCAACAAATCAAAGATAGATGGTCGGAATATATCAAGGACCTGTTTACAGATAAAAACACGTATACAAAGGAGGTGTTACAGGCTTTAAAAGAAAGAAAAGTAGTCAATAAGGAAGAAACGGAAATAACATTGGAGGAAGTAATAAAAGCAATGAAGAAAATGAGGAACAACAAGAGCACAGGGAGAGACGGAATTCCCATAGAGCTGATCAAAGCGGGAGGACCAGTTGTATGTAATGAGATTCACAAAATCTGCCAAGAAATCTGGGACAGTGGAAAATGGCCAGAAGATTGGTGTAAATCAATCTTGATCATGTTGCCAAAAAAAAGAAGACCTGAAAAACTGCAACAACTACAGATGCTGACGATCTTGAAAGAACGATTGGAGAAAGACATAGAGCAGCATTTAAGAGAGGAGCAGGCAGGTTTCAGAAAGGACAGAAGTACAGTCCAGCAAATCCTGATGTTGAGACTATTGTTGGAAGATGCAGGAAGCAGAGGTCAAACAACTTTTCATTGTTTTGTGGATTTTAAGAAGGCGTTTGATTCAGTCTGGCACGAAGGTTTGTGGGCAGCTTTGGAAAGTATGGGAGTGTCAACAAAAATGGTAAGGGTGCTGAAAGGGCTTTATGAGGAGTCAACAATGGCGGTAAAGGTAGGTACAGAACTGGGAGACTGGATCAAAGCGAACATAGGAAGTAGACAAGGAGATCCAATATCACCATTACTGTTCTTAGCACTGTTGGAAAGAGCCTTGAAAAAAATGGAGAATGCAGATATTGAGAGAATCGACATTGGAGGCAGAGTGATAAGGGACCTCAGGTTTGCAGATGATATAGATCTGCTAGCATCTAGTGCAGAGGGTCTACAGAAACTGATCGAGTTGACGTACAATGGTGGAAGAAACCATAGACTACACATCAACAGCAGTAAGACAAAGATAATGATTTCGGAAGCAGGTGGAAACAATGATGAATTCCAGATAGGAGCAGAAAAGCTCGAACAAGTGAACCAATTTATATATCTGGGCAGCCTCATAACTGATGACAATAATTGTTCGAAAGAAATTGATAGAAGAATAGCAATCGCGAGAGGAATGTTTGCATCTTTGAAAGTAATATTGAAAAACGGTAATGTATCTACAAAAACAAAGTTAAAGATCGTAGAAGCGTGTGTGTTTTCTACATTGATGTATGCATGTGAGGCTTGGACGTTGAAGAAAAGAGACAAAGACAAACTGGAAGCATTCGAGATGCATTGTTATAGAAAGTTGCTGGGAATCAGTTGGAGACAAAAGATAAGAAACGATGCCATAAGAAAACAACTTGGAAGACAAAAAACTGTGTATGAAAGTGTCAAGGAAAGAAAGCTGGGTATCTTTGGGCACATCTGCAGAATGACAGACGACAGACTGATCAAAAAAGTACTGATGAGAAAGAGGGACTGGAAGAAAAAAGTTTGAAGACCTGTGAGGAAGTGGATGGATGATATCACGGAATGGACGGGGCTTGGAACATTGGGCTCAATGAAGATGGCGAGGGAAAAAAAATGATTTTGGAGAGATAGAAGAATACCATCGGCCTCAACGGTCCCTCAAGGGATTACAGAGGATCATTGAATGAATGAATGAATATTGTAATGTAAGATTTCAACATTGTGGTCCAAGATTTGTCTAGTAATTTTAGTTTTGTGTTTCGCTTTCATGTGATTATATATAGCGCCAGTTTTTACGTGCATCGTGAGTCTTCTCGATAGCTTAGTCGTCCTCATACTATAATGTTCGGAATTATCGTGCCCACACTCACCAATATTACATTTGAAGAAATATATTAGATGGCTATGATCAATTATCGATTCTGGTTTACTAGTGCAGTTGTTTTTCATCACAAGAGATGTCGTTCTTTGGTTGGAGTAGTATAGTTTATATGATTGGAGGTTATTTTTTATGATTCTTTTTATGACTTTTTCATCCTGCTCGAAAGCTGCTGACACTTGATTCTTATAATATATTAATAAGATATTTTTGTTGTTATTGTTAGTCCATGCATCAAGTATAATGCTTCCATAATGAGTAAGTGGTTTAATTGAAAAGGAAAAGTTTGCCTACATTGCTATTCTACCATGGGCAATATCTTCGAGTAGTTGAAAGTTGGGTAAACCTTAGCCTCTTTGTAGATAAATTCGTAGCGCTCCTTTTATTTATATTTGGTTGAACATTCGCCTAACGCCATTGTTCCATTAAGAAATAGCATTTGTGTATTTCTTCGTACAGCTCCATTTGATTTTTTATTCCGTAAATTAAAAGTTCTACAACGAAACAATTAAACTTTGTCGGATGAAAATTTACTCGTTCAGACTTCATTTGTGGTTAATGCAATACATCGAGAGATGTTTCCATTACAGGTGCGTTTACATTCAGTGATATGAAAAAATTAATTTATAATAATAATAATAATAATATATAATAATAATAGTAATAATAATAATATATAATAATAATAAAAATAATAATAATAAAGATTATAAAAGATGAAAGACAACTCACACAATTGATTCAGCACGACGCCAGGTTTGTAGTTGTAGAACGTGTCTCCTACATTAGAGAGATTAATTTTTAACATTTCAATCGAGGTAATAATTTATTATTGATTCCTAAAATTAACAAAGGATCTCATATTTATGTTGTATATGTATATATATATTATATAATGTGTGTATATCATGTATGTGTTGTATCTGTAAGTGTGGAATATAGATGTGTTGAAGGCGTTTTTCGTGCATGTGTAGGCATATGTATTGTGTGTGTGTATGCGTGCGCGCGCGCGTGTGTGTGTGTGTGTGCGACTGATACAAACCGAAGGAGAGCAGGCAGTATAAGAATAGGAAGAAGAGTGGTGCCGGCTTGTTCATCGCTGTCATCGTCGACCGTTTCAATCAAAACAGAATTCCATACCAACAGCAACTTCAACCTAGCAACGAGCTCAACTCCAAAGAAAAATTATTTTTAATACTTATTTTTCTTTTTATTCAAGAAAATGAATTTTATTAGTTGTGACCTTAAAGTAGCTATTAACAAAACTATCTTTATAACAATACATGGGGTGACTTTTCGAAACATAATTATATAGTTAGTAAAACGAAAATTTAATATATGAATTGAACAATAGCATATAAAATTTATTATATAATCTTTAAAAGAGCAGAATAAAACCAATTCAAAACTATCGAATTGCATGAAAAAGTGATATGAAGCGTTTTAAATAGTGTTTGTACTATGCAAACAATCGGCCGCTGAAGTTCTCCATGTCTCCATGCATCAAGTGAGTGACGTGACGACTTCTCTTGTTTTCGGAAAGGTGGTTATGAAACGTTTCAGAGGTCTTATCAATTAGTCCGTACAGTGCTTATATGCAGCTCAAATGACAAATTATTATTTTTAAAAACGTTATATCATAATTATAATAAAGTTTTTGAAATGTGTTGTGGATAATGTTAAGATAGAGAAAATTATATCTTATTAAATTATTATTAAAATGACAATGGAAAAAATATTGACACCGTTGTAAAAATCTTCATCAAATTCCACTAATAAATGTAAGTAGGTAAAATTTATTGTTATCAACCAGATCTTTCCGGTAAAATATACTCGAGGGAATAAATTTACTAATCCAACATTCCATACAATGATCTGGAAAATTAGATTTTTTCATACACAAGTTCAAAAACTTAAATGCTATTTTGTCTTCATCATCTATATTTTTTATTTAAGAAATTTCAATAAACAAACATGGACGCATAAAAATTCGCTACGTTTTATTTCTTTGGTGACGTTTTGTTATGATGTAATCTTCTTATGGGCTACTACATGTCAGTGGGATGGCCCCAAACCCTGGTAGGATTGTGTAGCCACTGAAAATTGCTATACGTGAAGAATCTTCAATTAAAATAACAGAAGTGTGGAAGTTGAAAAAGGTTTTCAATTTTGATTTGATTTTTGTTGATTTCGTTCGAAATTCAATTTGTCTCGAAAAAATAACATAATCAAGGTGAGTCTGTTTGAGAATGATAACAATGCAGATGCGACTTTTTTCTTTTTTGTTAAATGATAAAAATATGAATTTGCGTATTAAATAAACATTGAATTAATATTAATGGCAGGCAATAGCACATTAAACGCATAAATATTAATTTTAAAAGGTAGTCGCATATTAAAAATAATAATATTATGATAGGAATAATTATAATTATATGGCTCTTTTCTGTTCCGAAAGACAATGGATGCGCCCAGCAGTGTCACTTTTTATGATTCCTCTTCATTTAGTGCATGATCTGTGACTGAACTGACCAATTCTTGAGTTACAAACTCCACCACAGATTGGACAACACTTCTGAAAGATTGACAGATGGCGGTGGTTTTCATTTTTTGTGCTTTTCGGGAGCGGCTTCAAATCTCTAACACTTTGCCTCCATGCTGTTCGATGCTGAGCAATCTCTTCACCCAGGTCATAATCAATGTCTGAAGTCCTGATGTCTCGCTTGCAGACATCTTTGAAGGTTAATTTTTGGCGACCGATTGTGTTTTTACCCCTGGCCAGCTCAGCGTAAGAGATTTCTTTAGAAATTCTTCCATCTGACTTACGGTTCGAGCCAGCGCAGTCTTCTCTGCGTCAGTAGCACATAAATACTGCACGTATTGGCATTTTTAACATTCCTGATTTGATTTGACGTATGTCTTTCCAGAAGATGCACTGCACATAATGCGTCCTAGGCAGTGCATGTGAAAACTATTCAATCTCTGTTCTTCATACATATAAGATGACCAACTCTCACTGCCATAGAGCAAAGTACTCAAAACACATTTTTAGACAAGTAGACAAGTTTTTTTATAGCTGTAAAATAATACAATATAATATAATTATAGCTGTAATATAGTTTAGTATTTCTCCAAACACGATGTGAATATTTTTGTCTTGACTTCTGAGACTTTTGCAATTCGTCTGGAAAGCTTTATGTCCAGATTTAAGTTGCTTGTAATTGTTGATTCAAGATACGTAAATTGATTAAGAGAATGATCACTTAAGCTGATTACCGGTAATTCGTTTTTACCTTGGGCAAGTTTTTCGGTATTGGTAAGACGTAAGGTAAACCCAAATCTTCGACATGCATTTTCCAAAGCATCAATGAAATTTTGCAATCCCTCCGACGAGTGAAATACTCGAGCAGCATCATCAGCAAGCAACAGCTCTCTAAAAAGAACGCATCTTCTTTATGTTTTAGTTTTAAGTCGGGCCAGGTTAAATAATTTACCATTAGATCTACGGTTGATGCATACCCTATCATGCGTGGCAAGGACATTAATATTGCCATATTAATGTAACGTGTCAAATTTATTTTAATCTTTTGTTTGGTACTTTTGCTCGTACAATATACCGGTCAAATTATTACTGTTTTAGTTTAATAAACAAAAAAGGTTTAAATTGAAATTTACTTACAAGTAATTTTAAATTTACAAGTTTCAGAAAATAATATTCAATAGAGAAAAAACTTGTGATCATGAAAAACAATGTCATGTGTTTTTCTATGGCTTTCCAATTTGAACTCCGTTTAATTGAAAGTTTCATAATCTACACTGGAAATTCAGCAGTTGTTACAGGAGCCTTTAAAAGGAAAACGTGCATACGATAGATCTAAGAGATCTCACAAAAGGCTTATTAGTTAAGGGCGCCTGGTCGTACTTTGCAGTCATCGGGTTCGACTGCAAAAAGATCCCTGCATATCACACGCGTGGTTTTCACGGACATTTAAGTATGATGGGTGTGTGTGTATGTTTGGTGCGTATGTGTGTGTGCTTGTGTGTGTGTGTCTGGGGTGTAGTGTGTGTGTGTGTATGGTGTGTGTGCATGGTGTGTGTGTATGGTGTGTGTGTGTGTGTGTGTGTATGTTGTGTGTTTATGGTGTGTGTGTATGGTGTGTGTGTGTGTGTGTGTGTATGGTGTATGGTGTGTGTGTATGGTGTGTGTGTGTGTGTGTATGGTGTGTGTGTGTGTGTGTATGGTGTGTGTGTATGGTGTGTGTGTGTGTGTGTGTAACTTCCTCCCATTTTTTGCCGTGTATCAAATATCATTATTTTATCCAACCACGATGCAAATTTTTTTAATGGTTTTTGAGATGAATTGAGGTGAAGCACCGTCAAAAATATTTGAAATAATTTTAAGTTACATTTTTGTGGTTTGTTTAAATAGACAAATCCTTTTTTAAAATAATAATAATTATGTATTCCAATTAAATGCTCTATTAATTAATGAGTCTATCTGATTATGTTTACGAATTTAGTCAATATAGTACTGACTATTTCGTGTTTTTAAAATTCATTTTAAAATATTTTCGTAAGAAATTTAATGGAAAAAAGATTGCGAGAACGTACAAATTAAAAACAATCGGTGTACTACTGTTTTCGTAATAATTTCTCAATAATTTCTTTGACTTTTTACCTATCAGCATAATCAACAACTGCGTCCTCTGATGAGAAACATCTCTATAATTATATTTTGAAACCAAAAAATCTTCTTTGTACATACAAACATACATGCATTCAAATGAAAAGTCGTTTAAAACTTTTAAAAGAGCAAATATCCCCACGCGTGTTTATCCTATCGAATCAGAGAAATTTTTCAAACGACCGTTCCTCCATTAAAATTATTTAGTTAATTATAATTTGAATAAATTAAAAATAATATATACATGTGTCAAAATCATATGTAAACTTTTATATAGTTTAAAATCAACATAATTCACATTGTTTGATAAAAATAGCATTAGATACAATCAACATCTTGGTCGTCATCAACTTCCATATAAATTTTATTGATTAATAAATCCATTCTTTGACTATGACTATTTATAAAAATGTAACAAAATTTTTAAAAATTAATTTAGCATCTAATGAAAGTGAAACTCAAATAAGGTGGCAGTGGTAAGATGTGAAAGGTAACCGTTCAGAGGTTCTAAACAGGTCTATTTTTTTTTGTTCGTAGCTCCAACTAAAATTACATAAATTTTACATGTTTTGAAATTACAATAGCAGCCACATATAACCACACGTCAGCTACACACAACTACATCAGTCAGCCACAAACAACCACACGACAGTTACACACAACCACATCAGTCAGCCACACACAACCACACGACAGCCACACATTAGTTACACACAACCACACATCAGCCACATATAACCACACATCAGCTGCACACAACCACATCACTCAGCCACACACAACCACATCAGTCAGCCACACACAACCACAGGACAGTCACATAGCAACAGCGCACCTTCCTTAATATCATCTACGTATAAATATCAACCATGTTTTAACCAGAAGATAGTTGTGAATTAACTAAAAGAGAAATTATTTGATATGGACATTGTCAGCTCTTAGCAAGGCGTTGACAACAGAGCAGTAGCCACAGATCAAATTGTGAACCATTCTATATAACGTTAATTAAATTTTTAAAAATTAATTAGACGAAAGCGATAATTAAACTCATTAAAATCAATTTAAAAATTGTTTGAATTTATTCAAGTCTTTTTATGAAATATAACGCTGATATGCTAAAAATTTAAATGAATAAAAAGAGCCAAAAAAAAAATGTTGAACAAAATTTATAAATACAATATGAAATGTTAAAAAATTGACAGAAAAATTAATTCGAAGGACGATAATAAGGCACGTTTGAAGGCAAGTCAGGGAGGCAGTTTCACTTTTTGTTGGAGAATTTCATGGGACGAGCCCAATTTGTGAGGAATCTCAAAAGGAAGGGGATCCTGGTGTCAGGAAAAATAAATTAAATTTTTCAATGGGTTGATCATCATCAGCGTCATCACATCATCATCTGCACCATCATCATCAGCGTCATCATCACCATCATCAGCGTCATCATCATGCGAATTGTGGGGAGGGAGTGTTTTTTTCGTATGTGATGTCGTCAGGTGAGTATGTGAGAGGATCCTGCTTGCTGTGTGGCGTTAGTTCTGTGAATTTATGTGGCGGTCTGCTGTTGATGTTGCTGTTGTAGTTTTTGTTATTGTTGAAGTTGTTGTTGCCGCTGCTGTTTGTGTTTGCGATTAGGTTGCTGGTCGTTAGAATGTTGTTGTTGATGTTGTTGATGATGACGTTGTTGTTGATGATGTTGCCACACAAGGGAGATGTTTGATTGCGGTTGTTGCTGCTGTTCATTGGACCGTCGGGGGAGTGGTAGCCAAGGTTTGACTGTTGCACGAGTGGGTAGCAGAGGCTGTTGTTTATGTTGTTGTTGTTTATGTTGTTGCTTGTGTTGTTGTTGTTGTTTATGTTGCCCGAATGATTCATTTTATTATTGTTCTTACTGAAGTTCATCTGGCTGTCGTAACAACTGCTCCACTGTTGGCTGACCTGCGTGTAATAATCTCGCATGCCTCCCTGCAGCTGACCCGGCGACACCCTATCTTGGTAGGCCAGACTGTTCATCGCAGTTTGATTGGGGACGTTGGAAGGGTTGCTGAGCAGCGGTGGAGATGATGACGACGACGAAAGCGATTGCAAGTGCATCATCATGCATTGTTGACTGAATTGTGGAGGGTACATGTTGGTGGGGTGTCTGGGCCCGCCAATGGGGGTGGTAGTGCTGGTGGGGGAAGTGGGCAGGATGGTTCGTTCGTTACGACGAAACTTGGCCCGCCGATTTTGAAACCAGACCTAGTGGCAGATGTTGGAATGAACGAATGGACGGACGGATGAATGAATGAATGGATAGATAGAAGGGATGTTGAGTGGATAAAAAAGCGTTGAATAAATTGGAAAACTATTAAATATTCCCAAACATCAAACTATTAGATCGTGAATTTTTTGAAAATTTTGACAGAAACAGTGGAACCTGAACACGGGCCTCGGTGAGGGAGACCCTCCTAGCCAGCTCCTCCCTGACGAAGGCATCGGGGTAGTGGGTCCTCTCGAAGACTCGCTCGAGGGCCGCAAGTTGCTGGCTGTTGAAGGTCGTCCTGGATCGCCTCTGCTTCGATTTGTTTTTCGCGTCTTTGTCCTCGTCTGCCGCTGTTCACGATCGAGTTTGGGTGGTCGGTGTCGTGAAAGATGGAATGAATGAATGAATGAGTGAATGAATGAGTGAATGGATGAATGAATGAGTGAATGAATGAATGAATGAATTCATTAATTCATTAATTGAGTGAATGAATGAACAAATAAATGAATGAAACAAATAGATGATTGATTGATTGATTCGAGTCCAGTTGAACATCGTTTAGATTGATGCATTCGCTCAATGGTAGAAAAAACATTATCTAAAAAAAACAGGTCAAAAAAAGTTTCCTAAAATTTCAGTTTCGGATATAGCACAGAGTTTAGCACAAATGAATAAAAATACAATCGCACACACATACAATCACATACACATACAAACACACACACACACATAAATACATACACGCCAAATCCCATACACATGCAAACAAACATGCACACATGCGCATAAATCTCATGAAGGTTGTACGCACAGTTGATGATGGTAATTGAATTTGAAGTTATATATATATATATATATATGTGCTATATAGATGTGTGTGTGTGCGTGTGTGCGTGTGTGTGCGTGCGTGTTGTGTTTGTATAATGCGTAAATGTTTTTGTGTTGTGAACTCTCACGAGCAACTATCATAGCAGTTATTTTAACTTTAATTTATTTCAGCAGCAATAATAATGTCTGTGACAAATTTCATCAAGAAAGCATCATTTTTTATTCAAATCCGGTGAAATGTTGTTGCTGTTGTTAATGATGTTGTTGCTGAGAATGTTGATGTTGTTGTTGATGATGATAATAATGTTGTTGTGGTGGTGGCGGTGATGTTGTTGATGATGTTGTTGCTATTGTTGATGTTGTTGTTGTTGTTGTTGATAATGATGTTGTTGTGGTGTTGGCGGTGATGTTGTTGGTGATGTTGTTGCTGATTATTATGTTGTTGATGTTGATGTTTCTGTTGTTGTTGTTGATGATGTTGTTGCAGTGGTGGTTAAAAGGCTGCAACTGTTTAAAACCAAATTTTTTTTCAGATTTCTATGCAGGTTATGTCAAATTGAACTTCAACCTTAACAAAAGCGCCCCTTGTGGGGGGGGCTTTACCCTCAGTGCCCCCGCTACCCCTTTGCGTACATGCATACATACATACATACTTAGGTGTACATTTTTATTTACTATATATATAGAAAAGCATTCGTTTATTTTATAAATTGCATGCGCAGTTATCGTCGTCAACACATTTCACACACACGCATACATACATACATGCATCCATCCATACATACATACATACATACATACAAACAATCATACAAACATACATATATACACACAAACAAACACATACATACATACAAACAAACACATACATACATACATACAAACAAACATACATACAAACATACATACTTACAAACAAACATACTTACAAACATACATACAAATATACATACAAACAAACAAACAAACATAAGATATGACGAGATCAAACAAGTGGTACGTCACATCGAGTTGACCTTTGGTCGTAGAGATGTGAGAATGTTGTTGTTTGTGTCGTTGTGTTGTTGTTTGTGTATTTGTGTTGTTGTTTGTGTATTTGTGTGTTGTGTGTGATGTTGTCTGTCTGTGCTAATGTATGCGTTGTTGTTGTTTATGATTGTATCGCTTGCGATGTTGTTGAGGTGATTTTAATATAATTTTTGATCGTGATGTTGTTGTTGTTGTTGTTGTTACTAAGTCAGATTTGTATTTTAGAATTTTTTCGTTTTATATAATATA